AGAAGTTTAACTGGAGAGGTTTAACTACCACCCTAAATCTGCAGATTTATTAGTGTGCTCTGTGTCTTCTCTTCACTTCAAGAGAAGGCAGCTTACCTCAAAGGAATGGAAGCCCTGCAGCTGAATATAAATTATAAAGAGGCCTCCTCACTCAAGTCAAACTCTTTCGAGAGGGGCATTTTTTCCATCTTACCTACACAAATAGCCTAGCCTCTGAGATTCCTAGGGGGTCTTGTGACAGGTGTTGTGAGAATTACGTGTTTATTTGCAGCGTACTGATTCAAAATAGCCCCTACACTTCCTAATCAGTTTAGGTCGTAAAGTAATTGACATCGTGCATTTGTGTATTGTAGACTGAATTCAAGACTGTCTGCCGAAATGCGAAGGTCGACGTCTACACTTCTCCCATGCATGTTTGTGCAAATGCAAAAAACGTGGAGGTATCGCATCTACAAGTGCAGCGTAAACATTTCTTTGTAAATAGTTTTATCGTATTGTTATGGAATTGGCTGGTTCTCGCAAAAAGCCCATCACCTTCGAACAGACGCCAGTTTTCTTGCAATCAGACGAAGACTTTTCACAGATGAAGTTGAAAAAATTTGTGTCCTAAGGGCTAATTCTGGTGGATTAGTAGAAGAAAATGCAATCCCTAGGACAATCAGCGTCTTTTCTGATGTTTTTAACTCGTGTTCCATTTCATCCTCAGAGAATCGAGGTGATCACTCACCTCAAATTGCCGGCAACGTAGTAACCACAGAGGAGAAAGACTTATTTCTAAGACTGCCTTTCCTAGGAGATGCAGCAAGCGAATTCGTGAGACGACGTCTTAGGACAGCTCTCACGAGTGCCTTCCCCGCGGCGAACTTGCGCGTATTCTTCGCAAATTCCCCCCTACTACGGTTGGGAGGCAAAGACCGGCTGCCGCTACAGGCCACATCCATGTGTGTTTATTCATTCACCTGCTCCTGTGGAGCGGGTTATATTGGCCGTACAACTAGCGTCTGGAAAAGAGGATACGCGAACACATGCCTGCCTGGCTAGGTAGAGGTGAACATCGATCGATTTTGAGTTCAATTCTCGCACATCTAATCGATACGAACCACCAAGCCGACCCTAAGGAAGCTTTTAAAGTTATCTGCCGGGCACCGGCACACTACTCTAAAGGCCTGCGCAAACGGGTGCTAGCCACAGCCGAAGCAGTGGCCATTCAACTGGCGAACCCGGCACTCTGTTGTCAGAAGACGCTGACACAAGCAGTCTGTCTGCCCTGGCCGACTACAGACGGTGATCGCACGTTGTCCCGACGCCCTGCGGGCAGATACACGCACTTACAGCGCTTACGATCTAACCGGAACCCCTCTACTTCCCCCCCTCCCACCCCAACTCCATCGTCCTCAACACGCTGACTCCGTGATGCGGGCGGCGTGGGAACATGGAGTCCGATTAACCCTGCCCCTGAGACGCATTTATATCCTGTCTGCAATTTGACTGATCATTACCTATGTAAATGTACCGGCCTGATGACGAGTTACTGAAAAGGTATGTTTGCCAACTGACTCTTCAAACGTAGTAAATGCCAACCACGGCATGGAACTCGTCGGCACGCAGATCGTGGCGCGGCCGCGGCAAAAAAATGTTTCTGGTAATTTATCACCAGGCCACAACAATTACATGTAGAATGAAATTATGAGCCACAGACGGGGTTTAAGCGTCTCGGGGGTAAGGATCAGTCGTTCCCACGCGACCTGCATGACGGAGTCAGCGTGTTGACAACGTTGAGGCCGGGGAGGGGAAGGGCTCTGGGTACGGTGTGAGGACTGTCTGTATGC